AGCACAGGTTTTTTTCGTAGTTTTACCGGCTGCCCTTGCGTCGAAAGTGCGTCAGGAGTACGTCGAGCGTAACCCGGGTTTACATGAGGAGAGCATCTTCCTGAATTGCGAACATGGAGTAAAATTTACAATTATATAATATAATTGGAAATTTTACTTTGTGTTCGCAACGCAGGAAGATTCACGTACTCCTGACGCACTTTTGACGCACTTTTGACGCAAGGGCAGCCGGTAAAATTACGAAAAAAAAACCTTTGCTTATACAATCTAAAATTAGAAATTGTAAAAAAAAAAACTAACTCATTTTTTCACCAATTTAAAACAGGTGATGATTAAAGTCCGCTTAATTAAATCTGGATTTAAGTATTATACAGATTATATAATTATCGCAAGTTTTTAAGTGTCGACCAAAGCCAAAAATTGTGCTTATTTTTATCTAAAATTTTGGGTGCATTTTTTTTATTCTCAAGTTCGAATATAAAGTTAGGTTTAATAGTATTTATATTTTTAAATAGTGGTTTCAAGAAATTGATTATTGCGATTTGCAAAACTCTGGATCCCATTGATTGTTTGAGCTAACAATCACAATTGCATTTTTGTTGATAAAATGTAATTGTTATTAATATGCGATTGTTAAATGATGATCATCGCTCAAACAATCAATGGGGGGATCCAGAAGTTTGCAAATCGCAATACTGTAATTTGATAAATTATAAATCAACAATCTTACATTTAAGACGCGCATTAAAAGGCTTACACTTCAAGAGAATATGCGTAAGTAAACCTCTTGATTGCTATAATAAAAACACAGCAACAGCATAAAAATACATAAAGCACATACGTATGAGGAAGTATATATAGTTAGGGTGTTCAGCAAACTAATTAAATCAAACATTATTTAGGGTGCATATGATAAAAATTTTTATGAAAATCCGAAATTACTGCGGCTAATAGTAACGTTCGGTACAGTTTTCTTTTGAACTAACATAATAATTGCCGGTTTAATTTTAGAAAAAGAGAGATTAACTTGCTTAGGATAACGTAACAATGGCAGTTTTTCAATTTATCGTTTTTATGGGTAGTTGATTCTACAAAATAACAAACTGATTTTACTTGAATTTTGACAATAATAAATTCATTAAATTTTACAAAACAAAGGTTGTCATCGAAAAGAGTGAAGTAAAAGCTACAAAATAAAAAAAAATTTGGTGTAAAAATATTACGTTCTTAACTCAAAAATCGTACCTTTATCTAGTGAATTAAAAAAATTAAAACAATGTCATGTGCCAAAACAACATTCAAACAACGTAAGCAATTAAAAAATGCACATGAACATTGTCAATTTTCTAAAAAGAAAATTGATAGTAATGCCAATCTATTAATAAGTTTGCAACCATTAAATATAGAATGTTTACAAGTTTTTAATACAGAATATTTATTATTAAATGATGTTCAAGAGGTTGATAATAATCAAGAAATTGATATTTGGCAATAAAAAATTGATAAATTTCTAGAGCATGTAATTGATTTGCCAGATTCAATTCTTTCAAACTTTATAGATATAATTGAAACGGTTGCCCAAGAACAACTTCATCAACCAAAATATTTAAAAATATGGAATGTATTTTTAAATATAATAAAAAATATAGGTAATAATAACATAAATCTTAGCATATCGTTATTAAGGCTCATAAGATACAAAAAAAGGCCTAATGTTGGAAAGATTTTTTCAAAACATTTGCAGAAAAAAGCACATGATTTTATTGAAACATCAATATATTATTCATATATTCGAAAAAATAATTAGCTATAAATTGTTGCATGGTAAAATTAGAAAAAATAAACAAATACATAAAAAAAATTTTCTTTAATTCATTCTGTGGCATGCAAAACTCCTACAATAACCAACAAGCAATTAAAGTTAGCTATTCAAAGTCAACTTATAGAAATAAAAAATATTATCATATGGCTATGTTGTTACTACCATACCAAATTTTGACCATATTTGTATGGCTGAGCTTTAAAATTCCTATAAAGCAGGGTCAATTATATAAACAAAACAATGACATAATCTGACATTTAATTTTTAAAATTCTTATCAAGTAGGACTAGTAATTGAATTAGGCTATCAATTTTGAAATTTTCATAGAGTTATAAATATTTATTTTTAAAATTTTTACTATATAGGCAAATAATTTAAATAGCATTATAACAGTCTTCACTTTTAAAATTCTTAGTAGACAAGTTGATATTAATTAAGTTTTCATTTTTAAAACTCTTTAATTTGAAGCATTTTTTAAATTCTTATTAAGAGCAATATATAAAATAAAATTTTATATATAATTTTAAGCAAATATTAATTAATGCTTATGAAAATTAATAACTACTAAAGAATTAATAAATGTGGCATCATGAATAAATTTATTTAGTTTTTGAACAGATCCATTCTGAGACATATTTATTTGTACCAATTCATTTTGTGATGAGTTCATTTGAATTGGATTGTTAAAAGATGGGGGTGATGCTAACAAATAAAAATAAATTGTTACAATAAAAAATTTATATTTAACAAAATATATTGATTAATAAATTTTAACCTTGAACTATTAACCTTACTGATACGAAACCTGATGACTCAATTCTATGTATATTTGTAACTGCAATTGACTCTAAAATAAATAAACAATAAATAAAAAACTAATTATTAAAACAAAAAAAAAGTACTATTCACTTCTTCA